TTTTAGATTTAGGATGTTTTACTGTTATAGATAAAGTAATGGGAATTCGAGCCGCCGACGTTTCTTTTCTTGATATCTTAAATATTTTATTTCATAGGTGATGCTGAAACCACCCAGTGATGAACCATTACATGGAACTGCCGAGGATAGGCTCATTGATCTAACTGATGTTGATATTCGTCCCTTGCTTGTTTATGTTCTCGGGAGAAACGCCCGGGATATGATCACAACAAGAAGGCAGGTGCCATGAATGCCCTTGTTCGGGCATCTGCAATCATGTCCAATGGCCCATTTATCCTGAACCTCGACTGTGATCACTATATCTATAACTCTCAGGCGATGAGGGAAGGCATGTGCTTCATGATGGATCGAGGAGGTGATCGTCTTTGTTATGTACAGTTCCCTCAAAGGTTTGAGGGGATTGACCCTTCTGATCGATATGCCAATAACAATACTGTTTTCTTTGATGTGAACATGCGAGCTCTTGATGGTCTTATGGGCCCTGTCTATGTCGGAACTGGATGCCTCTTTCGGAGGGTTGCCCTTTATGGCTTTGACCCACCACGATCAAAAGAACACTACTCTGGTTGTTGCAGCTGCTGCTTTTTTGGTCGTAAGAAGCAGCATTCCTCAATAGCGCACAGCCCAGAGGAGAACCATGCTCTGAGAATGGGCGATTCTGATGATGAGGAGATGAACCTCTACCTGCTACCTAGGAGGTTTGGGAACTCGACATTTCTCATCGATTCAATTCCAGTTGCTGAGTTTCAAGGTCGGCCCCTTGCCGATCATCCGGCTGTGAAGAACGGGCGCCCACCTGGTGCTCTCACCATTCCTCGCGATCTTCTCGATGCCTCAACTGTTGCAGAGGCAATAAGTGTCATCTCATGCTGGTACGAGGACAAGACCGAGTGGGGACAGCGTGTTGGGTGGATTTATGGGTCTGTTACTGAAGATGTCGTTACGGGATATAGAATGCACAACAGAGGATGGAAATCGGTTTATTGCGTGACAAAGCGAGATGCATTCCGAGGAACTGCTCCAATCAACCTAACTGATAGGCTTCACCAAGTCTTGCGTTGGGCCACTGGTTCCGTCGAGATTTTCTTCTCCCGTAACAATGCTCTCCTTGCCAGTCCTAGAATGAAGTTCCTACAGAGAATTGCCTATCTTAATGTTGGAATCTATCCCTTCACCTCCATTTTCCTGATTGTCTACTGTTTCCTCCCTGCTCTTTCGCTCTTCTCCGGCCAGTTCATTGTCCAGACCCTCAATGTCACTTTCCTTACCTACCTCCTCATCATCACAGTTACTCTTTGTTTGCTAGCTGTGCTCGAAATTAAGTGGTCCGGCATTGAACTAGAAAAATGGTGGAGAAATGAGCAGTTTTGGTTGATAGGTGGAACAAGCGCGCATCTTGCTGCCGTGCTTCAAGGGCTGTTGAAAGTGATCGCCGGGATTGAGATTTCTTTCACATTGACCTCAAAATCAGCAGGAGACGATGTGGACGACGAGTTTGCTGATCTCTACATTGTCAAATGGACATCCTTGATGATACCCCCGATCACGATCATGATGGTCAACTTAATAGCAATAGCAGTCGGGTTTAGCCGAACAATTTACAGCGTTATTCCTCAGTGGAGTCGGCTGCTAGGTGGAGTTTTCTTCAGTTTCTGGGTTCTGGCTCATCTGTACCCTTTTGCCAAAGGGCTTATGGGGAAGAAGAGGGAGGACACCAACCATAGTCTTCGTGTGGTCGGGTCTTATGGCCATCACCATATCCCTCCTTTGGGTGGCAATCAATCCCCCATCGAACACGAACCAGATTGGAGGATCGTTTCAGTTCCCTTGATCGGACATTCTTTGTGTAAGGTGAATCAGTTCAATGGTATTCCTTTATTTTTTCCCTTATTTAATCCTCTACAGACTGATATGCTGATAAAAAACTAGGCATGTTCAATAGATCATGTCGCCATGGGAACATATTTTATCAGCAATTTTACCGAGTTCGCATGCGATCGGTCCGGCGAACAAACTGGTTTCCCTGTTGTTCTGTTCTTAATGTATGTTTCCCAGCTGTTTTGTTCTTATTGTATGATGTTTACATGTATTCACTGAATAGTTTACTCATTTCTTATGGATATGGTTCTCTCTCTCTCTCTGTGCTTCATGCCATATTTTGGTACCGTTGAGTAATTAACATTTTTTTTGAAGGAATTGTCAAAATTATAACTTAAAGCAATTATAAAATTACTGTTTTGAATAATCAAATAATTCATAATTTAATAATTTCCGTGCAAACTCGTTACGTGGGGTTGACGAGTTAGGCCTATACCGTAGCAAATGTTGTAGAATGTAAAATATTGTTGAGGTTGATTTATTGAGTCGAATAATTAATCCGTTTGGATTATTAGCCTAATTTTACAGTAGAATAAAACCCCCAATGTAACAATAATAATAATTTAATATTTAATATTATAAAAGTAAATAAATAAGATTATATATTTATAAGAAATCCATGTACATGCAAATAAAAAGAACACTAAATGCTTATATATATATATGTGTATATATATATAAAAGTGATGTCATGGAGAAGAAGAAAAAAAGTAAGTGTATGTACATAAAATTCTTATTATTTATTATAAGATTTTAATTATATTAATATTTTAATGTTTGATCTAATAATAATATCAATAATAAAAATTAAAAAAAATTATTCCTTTTTTTTTTTTGAATTGAAAGAGATAAATTTTATTTAGCTATCATCCTCAATGGGGTTTACAAGAGAGCCGCATGACTCTTTCGATAACAATTCAAGAATCGAATGAGGGGGAGAATCATAAGTAGAGAGCTCAATTTGCTGTGGAGCTGCTATCTCGGAGAGGTGATATGTTGGGAGGTTGATTTCACGTGGAATCTAGATAAATTCAGCTACCCAAGCTTGGTTCCGAAGGGAGGCGATGGCACGAACGGGAGCATGCGGGCTGGAGTTGGCATCTGGGGGAGTTGATGAGAGCAGTCCGTCTGAACTTGTAAGAACTCGAACACAAGAGACCAGCCGAGTTTCATACCGTCGTAGATAGACCAAAGTTCAGTTTGTAAAGGAGTTGTTATACCAATTGAACGTGAGAATCCATAGATCCGGGAGCCATTAGTGTCACGGAATAAGCCCCCTATGGAGCTTTGACCAGAATTGTCAACTATTCCATCAACGTTAAGAGCAATCCATCCATGGGGAGGTTTAGGCTAGCTGCCATAGGAATGCCGTTGGTTGTTGGAGTTGCATTGTTGGGCTGATGATTTTGGTGATAGTGGATTGCCCACAGGCTGCTGTGGCGAATAATCGTAGTCGTGGGAGTAATAACTTGATTTTTTGTTGAGAAGCAGCCCATATAAAGACATGGATTCTCTGGGGTATAGGGAGACGCCGGACCATGTTCCATAAGTGATTAGGATCACGCCATTGATGGCCAACAAGAGCTTTGTAAGCTGATTTCACTTCAAACTTGTGTTGAGGGGTCCATCTCCAATAGCAAGTGTCATCAATGTCAGATTGGGATGGACATTTGAAAGAGAGAATCCGAGGAATAGCAGCCGGCTGAAATATGAAGGAAAGAAGATTTAAATCCCATGCACTATTGCCTTCCGTGAGATCAAAAATACGAGTGAAGGATTCCATTGATAAGGGGTTGATGACGTGATTACTTAAAGGGCCAAGGCTGGGGACCCATACGTCGTGCCACAGAGAAACATGATTACCATTACCAAGGCTCCACGCTAAGTTAGGGAGAAGATCGCTCAAATGTTAGCAACCCAAAGCCAAAGGCTCGAGCAGCGATGACGCCGGATACAAAGAGGGAGTCGCTCCACCGTTTTACATTTCTCCCGTAGAAGTTGAACCCAAAGAGTCATTGGTTTGGTGATTAAAGCATGGCCAACCTTCAGTATGAACGCCTTGTTGTGATCATAAGTCCGGTGAATGCCAAGGCTACCGCATTGAATAGGTTGACTAAGGGAGTTTTGGTAGTAGGAGAAGAAGAGCTCCCTATGAAGTGCCTTACAATACGCTCAATTTCATTGCAAACGCTCAAATTTTATTCCTTCTTAAGAACTGAAGGCCTGATCTTACATCAAATTTAATGAAATCTATAAATTATATTTTTTTTATTATCATTTGTTATCTTATCTATTTATCGACTAATCTAAATCGAGTATTGCAGATGTAAGGGCGATTTTCTCAGGCTAATATGCTTCATTCATAAACGTCGGAATTTAAACTCACAACCTTAATTAAGAGATCTAGTGTCTCATCTCAATAGACCAATTGATTGTCGGCATCTATAAATTATGATGATTATTTAAAAATATTTGAATATATAATTATTTTTAATGGTAAACTACGCATTTAGTATTTAAACTATCAATTTTGGTATGTTTTAGTACTTAACTTTTAATATTTTCAAAACCATACCTAAAGTTTAGTTTTTGTTTCATTTTAGTACACGTCGTTAAAAATTTAACACGTTTATACCTAAACTATCAGTTTTGATACGTTTTAGTATCTAAAATTTCATTTTTTTCCCTTTAAAACTTAATGTTAAATTTTGAACGGGATACTAAAATGAAATAAAAACTAAACTTTAGGTATGCTTTAGAAAAATTGAAAGTTTAGATACTAAAGTGAATCATAACTGATAGTTTAGGTACTAAACTTGTAATTTACTCTTTTAAAAAAAATTAGTACTAAAATTGAATAAACGTAATAATATAGATACTAAATGTGTACTTTACCCAATATATGTTTTTAACAATAAACAAAACAAATATTGTTATGTGCAAGAATATAAAAAAATAGTAGTATTAGCTGTAAGTACTAGTGTACAATAAGTATCAGAAAGCGAAGAGTAGGCGCGTAAAAGCCGCGAGGAATTGAAGCATTCGCCCAACTCAGCAACTCAGCGTGTTTTGTTTGTAACTCGCCTGCGTTATTCCATTCATTTCCTTCCCCATTTTTTTTATTTTTATTTTGTATAGAAATCAAAGAAAGAACAAATTCTTTGGAATTCTACATAGAGATTGGAGAAGAAGGGCAGGCAACAAGGTTTTGTCCCTTTTTTCTTCTTCATTCTTTTATATATATGTTTTTATCTCTCTCTGTTTTTTAGCCAAAAACAAGGAAAGAGAGAGAAAAAGGAGGAGGATATCGATATCATTAGCTTGGTACAATCCGTCTTCGGTGTTGTAATGTTGGCAGAGAGACGAGGGAGGGCAGCTCCTGCTTTAATCCGACGATTCTCTCTTCGTCTCTCTTCACTGATCATTGATCGAGTCACATTGGCATCTATCGTCACTGTTGATTGTTGATTCGCAATTGGAAGATGAGGAACGAGCTTTGGTTTACCCTTTATTTGGGGGAGGCGTTATTAGTGATCGATTACTAGTTATTATTCTGGGTTTTTGTTTTGCTTTTTTCTTTCTTTATCATCAATCGTCGAATCAATCTTCTATGGCACCGAATGATGATCCTACTAAAACCAAGAGGCTTTATCAAGTTTGGAAGGGGAGCAATGTGAGTTTCTTCTTGTTGATGTTTTCTCTCCTTTAATTTGCGATTAGGGTTGTTTTGGTCGTGTAAGTTTAGATTTTGAGACACTGGTATTCCTTTGCTTGTTTTTCTACCAAACAATTGCATGGACAAAGGTTATAATTTACAAGCATTCCCGTTAGCACTAATTCTGAGTCTGTCTGGATTGATTAAGAGATTTTGCAATTATGTCGATTTTCATTCTTTCCGATTAAATTAAATAATATCTGAACATAGTACTGATGATGGATGGGTGGAAGATGAATGGATGAAGCTTTCTTGAGTTTAATGAGAATCTGTAACATCAGCTACTGGAAAATATGAGCATATGATATTGAGAGTTGAGTTGTTGAATGCTATCTGAATATTTATTTATGTTTACCTTCTCTTCTTACTTGCTCAGGCCCTCCAAAAAAGGAAAAATAAAATCCAAATATCTTCCTAATCTTTGTGTAAAACCATGATCATAATCATGTTTGCTTAATCAGAAGTGTAGCTGATACATGTCATTATTGTTGTTGTGACAAAGTATATTATTGAAAGTGGTTTGTATTGTTCATTATGTTTTAACAGAGATTCTTTTTTGCCGGGAGATTGATCTTTGGTCCTGACGTTGCATCATTGTTTCTATCCACATTTCTTATTGCTGCACCTGCAATTGCTTTCTGCATAAGGATGTATATAAAGATCAAACATGAAAATACCAATGTTGGTCGCGATTATTCCATATTAATTCTGGGTGCTTTGCTCTCTGTACTGGTTAGTCTTCCTTTTGATTCAACTTCTCGTGGTGTTGGTGGTCACTGCTTAAGAATTATGCCAGCCAAATAGTTTTCAAACCATTAATTTACAATTTACCAGCATGGGTATTCCATTTAATTATGTTTTACATCCTTATGTAGAGCTTTTTTTTTCTTTTTTTCTTTTTTAAGTTTTTGCACTTTATCTTTTATTCCACTGTACTTGAGCAACAACTTATAAGCTCTTAAAGGTGATCAAGAACTTAAGTAATCTACATTTTGTGAACAATTTTCTTTGGTGGACATTCAATCCGGACTTGATTGTGTTTGCATGAAGACACTTTTTATGCAAGACGTAGCTTCTTTCATGCAAGTAGCTATCGGTTAACTTTCTTTTGTATGCCTTGGCGCTTGTCTACATTATATTTCATTTACGCGTTGCATTGTTGTTTGGTGTTTTATCATTGGTTTTGGTGAATGGTATGTATGACCATTTTTCTCTTTATTTGAAATTTAATTACTTTTTTACTACATTATGCTTTTTGTGTGAAACTGCACTTCCCAAAAGAAAATATAAAATTAATATGGAAGTCAATTTTTGCAGGACCTTGTGTTTCTCTTCTGTACCTCTGGTAGAGATCCTGGAATTCTACCCAGAAATTCAAAACCCCCCGAATCAGATGAAGCTTTTGAAGAGACTACCCCATCTATGGAGTGGGTCAATGGTAGAACTCCTCATTTAAAACTTCCTCGTACCAAAGATGTAATGGTTAATGGCCACACTGTGAAAGTAAAGTACTGTGACACCTGTTTACTTTATCGTCCTCCCCGAGCATCTCATTGTTCCATATGCAACAACTGTGTTCAAAGGTTTGATCATCACTGCCCATGGGTTGGTCAATGCATTGGAATAGTAAGTTTAACTTTCCTCTGTGAACCTTTTTATCAACTAAATGTACTTACTGGTAGGAAGCACTTGAATAATGAGCATTAAAGATTTGTCTTGACATGACTTGAATTAGATTGGCATAAACATGGTATTGACCAGGCTTTGTGATAAATATTCTTTTATAGTATAAGTTTGAAGTAAAAATTGTACTGGGCCTTAATTTATTAGGGCATTAATGCTGCAATGAAAAGAACAAGGCAGACAAAAACTATTTAGAGGCTGTTTCGTAAGGTGAAAAGTAATTAGCGTTTAAGATAAAATTTTGATGAACAGTCCAGTTGATTGAGGATGATTTAAAATCTGAATGAGGATAATAAGGAGATTTATCAGCTTCAAATTTAGCATTCCAGAGTCTGACTTGGACTTGATTTCACTGAGCAAACATACTTGGGATTCTGTGAGAATAATTCTAGAATCATAAATCTTATAATTAATTGACCTAAAACTGAATCACAAACTATGTCTAATATCTAAATGTATAGGAAGTATAAAGCAAAATTTGTGGACTCCTAATTTGTAATTATCAGTAGATCAAGAATACCAATATCTGCAACACTTAATGAAGAGAAAATTAAATAAAATTTGCAAACTGACCAAAAGGAACACATCTTAGAACTCTATTAAATGTTTAGTTGATCATGGTCTTAAATCCATTCACCCTAAAATGTTGCTCGAGTACCTATGTCTTTTATATCACCATTTTGTAATTCTGTATCATATTAACAATATGAACATTTTAAATGGTGCTTCTCATACCCAAAAAACACTTGTGGAATTTCCATTCATCTTGTTGAGGGTATTTTACATGAGTGGCCGGCCATGCGTCTGCTCGTGGGAAATTTTAATCTTTAGGATGTACCATATCTTTTCTTATTGGCTTCAGGATTATTATTTATTAAGGTTAAAACTCTGCAAAATGACACAAGTTGTAAAATTATCATACCAACAGGGTTATCCGTTACCCCAAGTCAAATTTGTTGCGTGATCTTGTATATAATCTCTAAATTAATGATTTTCAGTCATATAATTTGAAATGTTGTAAATCACTTATTTGCGGTTGAAACTAATGGTGCTTCTGACTTGTGTGTTGGTTGCAGCGGAACTATCGGTTCTTCTTTATGTTTATATCAACCGCAACCATCTTGTGCTTACATGTCTTTGTTTGTTCTTGGATCAATCTCCTTGAAAAGGAAGCTGACAGTGATGGCAATCTTTGGAAGGCTATGTCGCATGATGTCCTATCCGTAATTCTAATAGTCTACTGCTTCGTAGTTGTGTGGTTCGTCGGTGGTCTTACAGTTTTCCATTTCTATCTGATTTGCACTAATCAAGTAAGTTCCTTCTCAAAGTTCATGTCTTTCTGAAGAAATATATACTGATCATTCATTATCATATTATATATTTGTCATCACTATATACACTTTGACTGATATGGCAAATCTTAAATTGGCTGGCTGTATAACAGTCTGCAAAACATTTTGGGCCATTGTTGTTCAATGCATTCTTAAATCTTGTCTGTAACTTATACTTTTTGTCGTTGTGTCCTTTGTTAGTTTCACCACTTTCTTATTGGATACATTGAGCCAATTTGACCCCAGAATAGTTGTAAAAAATGCCGTTGAGGTAGAGCTATTGGAAAAGTGTTGTTAGATTGAAATTATCTTAAATAACTAAGAATATTTGTTTTCCTCTTAAGCATTTGACGGAGGCGTTATATGAACTTGTCATTGCAACTCTTGTTCTATACTTGAAGTTTCAGCCTTCTAACCTTTAGAAATTCTTTTTTTGTTTATATAGAAACCAAAGTTGATTTTCAAAAACCTTGTTTGGCCTTGCTACCTTTCTAGAACAAAGAAGTTGGTATATAAGCTGGCAAATAGACACTTGAATCTTGAACGTTTTCTTTAAATTCTTGATTGCCATACAAATCCAGATAGTGCAATAGTAATCTTAAGAATGTGGTTAAAAAGGTTGAGGAGAAACTTGATATCCAAAGTAATGCAGGATAAAAATAAGATGCTTGAAGGGCTAAATTGTTCAAGATTTTACGTCACATAATTGTAATTATATGGGTAGATATTTATTGCATTTAATTATTTAGGTTTTTTTTTGTTAACTTATGTTTTGCTTATTTTCCTATTACTAATGCCTTACGGTTTTTGCTACTTTGCCTCCATGTTAGATTTTCTTCTTGTTTCTACCTCCTTTTTCTATATCATATCTGAGAAGAGAAATTAGAAGAAAAAACCGAAAATCAAGATGAGAGCTGAGTATTATGAGTTTTTTCAGCAATGATGTTTTAATTGATGAAAGATAAGTACTTAACATCAAAGATAACAATAGATCAATCCTATAAAAGAGAGAGGTGAAAAGAGAAGAATTCTTGTTTGTATATTTCTCTTAAAAGTCAAATGTTTAAACGTGTTATAAATGTTAGAAAATGGAAAGAAAATAAATCAAAATCTAATCCCTGAAGAAAATATTTTAGAGATAAAATGCATGCGGTATTGCTTCCAATAATGACAATTACTCTTCAACCCAAATACTTGAGCTACCTCACTAAATCTACCAAACCAAGTGTGAGGACTCTTTTAAATCTTAATAGTGATTCGCGAAGATGACAAACTTTACCGTGCTCCCTTTAAGCAACAAACCCAGGTTGTTGCTCCCTATAAACTTCTTTAAGGTCACCATGTGAAAAAGGCATTTTTATATCTAGCTGATGTAAAGTTCAATCATAGGTAGTTGTCGTAGATATTAATAATAATAAAAAAGGTAATTTAGCTACTGGACAAGTGTTTGAGTAGTCAACACCATAAGTTTGAGCATACCTTTTAGCAACAAGACAAGCTATTGATCTATTAAGATTTACTTTGGTCGTAAACAATTTGCATCTGATTACTTCAGATTTGTTTCCTCCGTGAGTAAACAAGGAGTTCTTCTGTACGTGTTTCCTCCCCAGTGCCATTTTATCAAAATTATGAGGTTACTTTATAATATCAAGACCTTGGTTTCGATAAGTTAAAACACTAGGTTTCACATTTATGATAAAAGCGGAGCCATTAGAAGTCAATATGGTGTTTCTTTTGTTTGAAGGACGTCTAACTATGTCAGTCACATCCAACCCTTTTTCCATCATCGTTGAAATCCGAGATATCTCACCCGCAAAAAAATGAAAGGAACTCTTTATTTATTTTTTAAATTGGGTTGATAAAAAACACTACAATTTATAGGTGAACATGTGGATCTATAGTTCTACACTCTAGGAGAAGTTAGGTGGGAGTCTACAATTTATAGGTGAACATGTGGATCTACAATTTATAGGTGAACTCTGTAAATGATAAGGAATGAAATGCATATATAGACACAGTTAAATTCAATATAATATATTGATGAACAATTGAAAAGTATACAAATTTGGATTAATCAAATCCAAATATAAACTAGGAATTTCAAAATCGCTACTATATAGGCATATAACAAAGCCAAGGATTTCAGAAATAATCATCGATGTTATATTTTTAATTATATTAATACTCAATTTACACACTTGAAATCCAAATAAAAAATTCTGAAATTCAAGTTGCCAAACGCTACCTTAAGGAATATGTATATCCCCTTTATTTAGGGAATAAATATACACTAAATAGTGATATAGTGGCAACCATCAAATATAAACAGTTCTAAACCTCCCCTAAAAGAAATACTATCTCAACCATAATGTCATTATTATTGTTGTATGCTAGTATTTTTGTTTTGCTTTGTGTCCGACCTACACGATCTTGTAGATAACCATGCTAGAGCTTATATATGCCTGTATTTCTACCTTATATTTATTTTTTTCTCTTTTTTGTTGGGTTAGGACATCGGTTGATTGTATGTTTTTAGTTCTACTTTATTTTTCTGTGGCTGTAGTTTGAAGTAGCTGAAGTTGTTAAGTCTTATGTAAACTCATATGATGTATTGTTAAGTCTTATGTAATTCCGGTTTGGTAATAAAATGAGCACTCTTTTCCTTCCTCTATTACTTGATCCTTTCTGTTAGGAAAGGGTCAACTATGAGGGAGGAATTTAACGAGGCTTCCTATTCCTATCAAAAAAAATATTTGATTGCCCTCTTATCCATTTTTAACAGACTACGTACGAGAACTTCCGTTATCGATATGATAAAAAGGAAAACCCATATAACAAGGGAACAAGAAGAAATTTTCATGAAATGTTTTTTTCCAAGATGCCACCTTCATTGAATAATTTTCGTTCATTTGTGGAGGAAAGTGAGCATATAATTATTGGATCCATGACACCAAGCTTTGCTGAAGGTGAAATTAGCTCAAAAGAGAAAATTGATATTGAGATGGGAAATAGGCTTGCTGAGGAGACTGGTTATTCACTACCTGAAATTTTGAGAAATTTGGATTTTGATGATTTGGAGGATGAAATGATGGTAAAGATCGAAGGGGAAAGACCTATGGATTCATTGTTTATGGAGGGGCATGATGTGAAACAGTCTGTTGAAATCTCCATTCCAGGGGATGATGGAAAAGTTAGAACCGACGACAGTGCAGCTTTTCAAAATGGAGTTGGAGAATTTATGGAAAGCCAAACTGCAAGAAATGAAACCGATACGTCAGAACAAGCGAGAATGTAGCAAGTCTCATCTAACAACGCTGTCAATGTATGTAATCTTCAGTTTCTCTCTCCTTTTTAGATCAAAATCTATTACTAATTAAACGAGTGTTTGTTGCTTGGGGTTGAGTATTTTGAAATTGATGTGAATCGTCTCCTTTTCTTGTGACATTGCAGCGGTACGCAGCTTCGGTGGACTGTAAGTTGTTGAAAATAGAGATACATACATACAAGCTCAAAAAAAAAAGGTAAATATATGTGTTTATATGGATGTACCAAACACTTATTGGTTGTTGTAAGCTGTAAATGTTGTGGTTTGCTAGAAATAATGCTGAAACTCAAGAGAAAAGGTTGTAGTGTGTGTTGTAGGTTTTATCATTTCTTATAGCATGCTTGAGAGTATAGGGATTCATGTTTCATCGGTTAGAACTACTACTTGGTTTGTGTGGCATGTAATTTTTTATTTATTTTGTAGGAATATTACTTGGTACACACCTTAATCAAGATTCCAAATTTTACGAGTGTGTCATCATGTCGATTCTTCTTTTCTTTTCTTTTTTTCTTTTTGAATTAAAATGCATGTTTTATAATTAAGTAATTCATCTTGAAACCCACCAGGTTGCTGATCCTGAATTAAGACTATTCAAAAATGGTAAATTACTTGTTTAGTACCTAAACTATCAATTTTTGTTTGTTTTAATATCTAAACTTTTAATATTTTCAAAATCATATCTAAACTAATGTTTAATTTTTGTTTCGTTTTAGTACCTCGTTGTTAAAAATTTAACGGGTGATTTGCACTTGACACCTTTTTATGGGTAAATTGCATCATTCATCATTCAACTATCTTCTCACTTTTATTTCGGTATTAAAGTTTAAAAATTTTCGATTTAATTGGTTAACTTTCAGTTTGCTTCTATTTTAATCATTCTAATTTATTTTATTAATAATTTTTGTGACATGACGTTTTTATTATTTTATTAAAATGGTAAATTACATCGTTCCTCATTAAACTTCACTCTCTCTCCTGTTTTGCTCACCGTTTCTATTTTGCTCGTGGAACTTTACAGATTGAATTATTTTGCTCACTTTGTCGTTAACTCTCTAATGACGTGATTGTAACACCCCAACCCATACCCGACCCGGATACGAGTCTGAGGTGTCACATTGACTTTTCAAAACATGTACTTGTATAAAATAGTGAGTAATTTAAAACTTTTATAACCTTAAAACTTATTCAAAACGTTTACAAAACTATTCAGAGTTTATACAATATATATATTCTTTTGATTACATGCCAACTAGAACTTTATTTATTAAAATACGTATTATTCACCTCTTTTCTGATCTGACATTTGGTAAGGAGAACTGACCTGTCTTGCTCCACATTGCTCGTTACTCTTCTCGAAACCTACATGTGAAACAATCACACGCTAAGTCGTTGACTTAGTGAGGCATATAAACATGTAATACAACTATAATTCATATCAAATGCATGAGCAATTAGTATTATAATCATATCATATAAAAGCACATATATATAATTTCTGCAACATGTACACACATGCACATATATCATTATGTAAATCATATAATCTATTCCATATAACAAGTCACATATGCATATCACATTTAGTATACTTGTTTACTCTCTTTATTAACCCATGTACACTATTGAGAACTTAAGGTATGTGAGTACATTGAGGTTGTGCACACATATGCTGTCACCACAACTCGATCAATGTCCCGCAGGACCTATCAAGAGGTCATAAAGATCCTCGGCAACTGTCCATAGGTTCCGAAGAACCTAGGTGAACTGTCCATATGTTCCTTAGAACATAGGTATACTGTCCATATGTCTCGAAAGACATAGGTAATTCTGTCCATATGTTCCGTAGAACATAGGTACCCTCGACTCTTGGCATGCCAACTATACCCCTAGCTCTCATGACACATAACATGGGTATTATCTTTTATATCCTTTTTCATATTCATGTAACCATATCATATATTCATATAGGCTCATGGTTTCCTTTACATATACATGTAATCAAGTAGTTCATATTCATTCTCATATGAGTTCATATCCATATAAACATAGGATTCACTTTCACATATCCCATATACTTTCTCTTTCATATAACTAATGTCTTGTGATCATGTAAACACGTATCACATAAAATAACATGTCAAACATATCACACAACTGATATAATATTCTCATATATTCATGTAGTTCAGTATCACATATCATATGAATCATATAAATCATGTCACATATACTCATGCATACATAAAATTCACAAATCAAATAATATTTTAAGAGTTACTTATTACCATAGTAACTCCGTCACTGGCTCATTGCAAGCCAATGCTTATTCGATAACATAAGTACCATGAAATTGCACTCACCTGGCCTCACTAGTCCATTCCAATCTCTTATCTTCCCTTTTTATCGATATTACTTGTCAATGATTCCGGAACTCGTTTAGGCTCTGAATCTACATAATTATACATTTTAAGACAATTATTAGATACCTACACCTTGTAATTTGATACTAACAACTTAAACGAACTTATTAAACCAATATTTACAATTTTCCTTTAGGGGGAATCGGTTCCCTCTTGTGGGGGTATCGGTTCCCCCATGACATTCTGGAAATTTTATTCGCTTGAAGGGGTATCGGTTCCCCTTGAATGGGTACCGATTCCCCTAGCCCAGAATTACATTTTCAGCACGAAAAATACTTCATTTCAACTTAAACACTTCCTATTTCAACCCCTTTTTCATTCTTAACTCTAGTACACATACTTAAACCAATCTATATTCATTTAATTCATCTTAAACCTTAAAATCCTATCTTCCATACGTAATTCAATAATTACATCAATTTTGCAATATGTTTCAAATCCAATTCTATTACTCCAAATCTCTTAATTTAACTATTGACAAGTCAAATTCAACTTAAAATTCAACTTATCAACTTTATTTCAAGATTTCATTCAAAAACTCAAAATCTTTAATCTCTCCTAATTCCACCATCCTTTGTTTTTAAGATGATTTAAGCTTTCCTTAAGCTTAGTTATCATCTAATAATCAAAACCCAACCTTAAAATCAACAATTCATTTATAAACAAAGAAACTTACCTTTGGCTCTTGGCTTCCACGTGAAGAAGAAGAAGAAGAAAGGAGAAGAGAACTCTGGAGAATTCTCTCCCTTTCCACGTATATAAATCCATTTTTTTTAATTCCATAAATGATCAAATGACCATTTTACCCTTTATTTCCTTTAATAATTACTAAATAACCTTCATCATATATATCCAATAGTCATTAAACTATTTCATTCTTCTACTTTAGTCATCAAATTCTGAAACTTTACAAATTGGTCACTAACCCATAATTTGGGATGTTACAAATCTCCCCTCCTTTTAAAAAAATTCGTCCTCGAATTTTCACTGCACATCCTGAGAAGGACATATCTTCTAACGTTCTCATGCTGCTTTCTGAACTTAATCTTTTGTATCATCTTTAATAACTTGGTTCTTATCTTTCCAATTATTCGACTACCTTTTTACTTTATATCTCCTATCATGTCACTTATCAGATAGACAATAACATTAATTCTTATTACTCAAACTCATAATTCAATCAAATTCCTTGTAAATCTTCAATTGTCTTTCAAGAATCACCAAACTTTTATTTCATCCTTACTTGACTGACTCCAAAACTTCCTTTAATACATATAAATCTTTATTCATTTCTCTGACTACATTCACTTGACCAAGAAACATAACCTTAAATCTTCATCATAACTGATTAAACATACACTTTACATAACTAAACAATTTCTCATATTACCTGACATACCTTTCTTACTTCTGGTTAAACTTATAACCTATATCTCAACATAATCTTTATCACGTCTAATTCTTTAAACTTCATCCTTTTATTTCCTTCATAACTCAAAATCTTCTTATACACCAATCATATCTTTCTTTCATGTTCACATACTCTTTTCCTATCACTTAAACTCATCTCTGATTACCAATCTTTATTATATCATTATAACTTTACTAATCACTTCACTTATACAGAACCTCATTCTTATCGTATCTTGCTTGTATTTTCTTCCATCAAAATTTTCTTTAAAACACATAAATATTTATCCCCTTGCCTATATCATATCTATATGATCAAAATACACAACCACATCCAGATTCGTATCTCATTTGATCAACTTACTTTATGTTTCCTTCAAATCTGATAATTCTAACGTCCATGCCACTATAGCTAATTAATAACAACTTTTCAATCTAGGGCGTAAGCCCTGATCAAATTAATCATACACATCATTTCAGTTAAAATCAACCCAGTGTAATTTACTTATTGAACCCATACTCTCATTCATATACAGTATTATGTCTTGTCTCCTTTATTACCTTTCATTTCAATGATTAAAATACATAACCATATCTCAATCCACACCATACATAATTAGCTTACCCTGAAATCATCTTCAAATCCTTTAACTTTAATACACTACTATCTTATAACTCTGTTAGTCAACATCGATTCTTCCAATCTAAAACATAAACCTTCATCGAACCATTCAAATACATTCTTTGCAGTCAGAATTATTTCAACAATAGTTTATTCAACTAATCAAATAAACATTCAATCTCATACACCATGTCACTTTCATTATTCAAGCTTAACATTCTAACTTCCTTTATTTATAAACTGATCATTGATGTACCCATACTTAAACTCTTCTTATCAATCCTTAGTTTTACTCAATCATTCGAATCCTCACTTCCTTCACTCTATCACTTTACTATAATCACAGTATACAACTGTATCCAAATTCACTTCATATTTGGTTATCATAACCTACCATATCTTGAAATCTTGTAATTTCAATACATTCCATCCCATAATCTTGTTAGCCCACGCTAACTCTTTCCATCTTAAATACAAAAACAATATCTACCTCACTTGATACATTTAAAATACTTCTTATCCTTCACATTCTTTAATTTCTAGCAATACACTTAATCCATTTAAAATACTCTTTCTGCTTCGATTTGCATAACTTCTAAAAGAGCTTTTAACCCAATTCACAAGGGTTGTCTTTAACCCTGACGTATCCTCAATTAACTCTTTGTTTAATCTTTCAAGATCACACTTACGGTTGGAGTCTGTCAAACTCTCATCTGATTTGATTCTCTGACGGAGAATACAACTAATTCATGTCTGGTTTAAAGTTGAACCAGAATCTCTACCTTTCTTTGATGGCGCTAAAATTCTATGAAGCACTAATTCTCTTAATCATCTGAGATTTTATTTCTCCAAACTTTTCGTTCTGAGCTTTTTCTCTTTAAAGCTTTAACACATTTAACCATTTCTTGAAACAATAACAAATTCAAAACCAGTAACACTGTAACATCCTAAGTAACGGGTTAGTGACTAAATTGTAAAAATTCAGAATTTGGTGATTAAAGTAGAATAAATATATATAG